CTCTCCTGAGATCTTGAGAGATTTAAACATATTTTATCTTCAGTTGATTTCATCTAATGTTGTGGTTGGAAGTCAGTTGTAGTTCTTGTTTTTCTCTTTCCTTCAGTGATTCTGCATGTTAACAGCAGGTGTTCATCACTAATGCTCAACAATCACTTAATTAATCACTTAATTTCTTGAATGCAATATCTACTTTTAGTAAACTCAACTGAAATAATTTCAGAGTACTCATTGTAATGGGGTTCAGATGTAATGGGAAGAAGGAGGCGGGGAACCGGCGAACATTTCAAGAGTTTAATAAAATAAATAAACAAATACAAAAATGAAAGTATAAGCCAGCAGCCCCTCGAGGACGACTGCTGGCTACACAAAACAGAAACAAAACACAACACAACACAACACAACAAAAGTTCAGACCTGTCCCTCTCTCGATCTTCACTGTCGTCGCTCCTCCTTTATGCTTCCGCTCCTCCGTGAGAGATGTGAGACCGGTGCGTCTCACAGGTGTCATTCATTTATCACTCACGTCCTCGCGCCGTTCTCTCACGTCCCTCGGCCTCGTACTGCTCGCCACGCTCATAACTATTGTTTTTTAAGCCGACTCCGTGTTATAAATACGTTAGACCTATAACTTCTGCCACTAAAGATTGCTTTATCAATAATCTTCCTAATCAGTTTCATCATCTCAGCATCCCAGATAGCTTAGAAGAACTCGATATTGCAACAGAAACTTTTAACTCTCTCTTTTCCAGCACTTTAGACGCAGTTGCTCCGTTGCGCTTAAAGAAGATTAAAGAAAATAGTCCAACGCCGTGGTACAGCGAGCACACTCAGGCCCTAAAGAGAGCAGCCAGAAAAATGGAGCGCAACTGGAAGAAAACTAAACTAGAGGTATTTCGGATTTCGTGGAAAGAGAGCTCAATTGCTTACAGAGAGGCTTTAAAAGCTGCTAGATCTGCTTATTTTTCAAACCTATTAGAAGAAAATAAACATAATCCTAGGTATTTATTTGAAACAGTGGCTAAACTAACGAAAAAGAAAGCTTCAAGCTCAGAAGTGTCAAAGCAACACGGCAGTGATGACTTTATGAACTTCTTCACTTATAAGATTGATAATATCAGGGACAAAATTATAACTATGCAACCGTCTACCACAGTATCGCATCAGGAAGTGCATTGTAGTCTCCCTGAGGAACAATTTGATTTATTTGTTGCTATAGGAGAGGAAGAATTCTGCAAACTCGTTAATTCATCTAAATCGACAACTTGTATGTTAGATCCTATACCGACTAAGCTACTGAAAGAGATGTTTCCAGAGGTCATATATCCTCTTCTTAATATCATTAATTCATCTTTGTCTCTAGGATACGTACCAAAAACCTTTAAACTGGCTATGATAAAACCGCTTGTTAAAAAACCACAACTTGATCCTACAGAATTAGTCAATTACAGGCCGATCTCGAATCTGCCTTTTCTGTCAAAGATATTAGAAAAAGCAGTATCTTCACAACTATGTTCCTTTCTAGAAAGAAATGATATCTGCGAGGATTTTCAGTCCGGATTTAGACCGTACCATAGCACTGAGACCGCTCTCATTAGAGTCACAAATGATTTGCTCTTATCATCCGATCGTGGTTGTATCTCTCTATTAGTGTTACTCGATCTTAGTGCTGCATTTGACACCATTGACCACAACATTCTTTTAAATAGACTAGAAAACTATGTTGGCATTAGGGGAATTGCATTAGCATGGTTTAAATCATACTTAACTGACCGTTATCAGTTTGTAGCAGTAAATGAAGAGATGTCTTATCGATCACAAGTTCAGTATGGCGTACCACAAGGCTCAGTACTAGGACCGCTGCTGTTCACTCTGTACATGCTACCCTTAGGAGATATCATTAGGAAACATGGAGTTAGCTTTCACTGTTATGCCGATGATACTCAGCTGTATATTTCTTCAAAACCCAACGAAACTTACCAATTCACAAAATTAACGGAATGCATAGCTGATATAAAAAATTGGATGACTAGTAATTTCCTACTACTAAATTCTGAAAAGACAGAGATTCTAATTATTGGACAAAAAACTTCCACACGTAATAACCCAGAATACTGTCTAACACTTAATGGCTGCTCTGTCAAGTCTTCGTCGTCGGTTAGGAACCTGGGTGTGCTCTTTGATACCAACCTTTCTTTTGAAAGCCACGTGTCTAGTATCTGTAAAACTGCATTTTTCCATCTTAAAAATATATCTAAATTACGCCATATGCTCTCATTGGGAAATGCGGAACAATTAGTCCATGCGTTCATGACCTCAAGGCTAGATTATTGTAATGCTCTACTGGGTGGTTGCCCTGCACGCTTAATAAACAAACTACAGCTAGTTCAAAACGCCGCAGCTCGAGTTCTTACCAGAACCAGGAAATATGACCATATTAGCCCGGTTCTGTCAACACTGCATTGGCTCCCTATTAAACATCGTATAAATTTTAAAATATTGTTGATTACCTACAAAGCACTAAATGGTTTAGCTCTGCAGTACTTGAGCGAGCTCTTAACGCATTATAGTCCTTCACGTCTATTGCGATCTCAAAATTCCGGCCAGTTGATAATACCTAGAATATCTAAATCGACTGCTGGCGGTAGATCCTTTTCCTATTTAGCACCAAAACTTTGGAACAGTCTGCCTACCATTGTCCGGGAAGCAGACACACTCTGTCAGTTCAAGGCTAGACTAAAAACACATCTCTTTGACCTAGCATACACATAATACATTATAGACTTCTATAAATTCAATGTTAGGCTGCATAGATTAGGTCAGCCGGAACTGGAAACACTTCCCTTAAATCTTGATGTACTCGCTACATCATAAGAAGAATGGCATCTACGCTAATATTAGTGTCTTTGTTTATCCCGAGGTTTTCCCGCAGCCTGCCGGATCCAGGCCGTGTCCAGATCTGACGAAGGAGATTCGCCTGGACCCGATGACAATGCAGTGCTGAAGTATCCACTATCCTCTCCCTATGGAGGATCCCTTTCCCACTCTACAGATAAAGCGCTGTGAATTCCGGCTCGCGTACCCCGAAGTGATAAAATAAAACAAAATTCTGTATCAAAATTTATAGGCAAGAAAAGTAGTTTGTTTAGGCTGGGTTGTATGAATTACAAACCTGCGCACATATTTTAAAAAGCACATAACTATAGAATTCAGAATGAGCATGTGAACGCCGTCAGCGTTAATCACAGGTTCGCGTTTAAAGTCTGATCATTTCGACAGAGGTGAATCAATCAAAGTTAACTTTGGCTGGAATTAACGTTATTCAAGAACCGCTATAACGCCAAAACAATCTGTTACCTTAAATTATATGTTTATCTCTGTAAAGCTGCTTTGAAACAATTCATTGTTAAAAGCGCTATATAAATGAAGATGACTTGACTTGACTTTATAAACTTTAATGAATTGAGGCAATCGGTTTCCTCAAATGAAATGTGTTAGCTTAACTCATTGGATTTGACTTTGTGTGTGATATTGTGAGCTAGCAGTAACTGCAAGTGCTCTCATTTAAAGTTTGTCATTTCACTGTTTTTACTCAAAGTGAAGTTTCAGCTATATACAGTATTAAATGCAGTGTAAAGTTTAATTGTGTTTTAAGAAATATTATTGTTTTAGTGAACTTGATTAATATAAGTTCAGAGAACTCATAACTATTGGTTTTTTTATAAACTTAAATTAATTGAGGCAATCGGTTTCCTTAAATGAAATGAGTTAGCTTAACTTGTTGGGTTTTACAGTACAGACTACAGTTAAAATTATAACTAAGTTTACATGTGCTTTAGTATGTTAGTTAACAAAATAAGTGTACTTCTTTAAAGTACATTTAAAATATTTAAAAGGATTTAAAATATACTTAAGTAACATTTTTAATGTGACATTATTGCACTGCAAAAAATGCTTTTCTTACTTCGTATTTTTGTCTTGTTTCCAGTCCGAAAGTTAAAAAAATTCTTAAATCAGAAGTAAAATAACATAATAACATAAGATGTTTTCTAAAAAAAAAAAAGAAAGAAAAAAATATAAAATTTAAGTGAGTTTTTGCTTAAAACAAGTAAAATGATCTGCCAATGGGGTCAGAAAAATAATCTTAATTCAAATGGAAAACAAGATGATTCGTCTGACCCCATTGGCAGATCATTTTGCTTGTTTTAAGCAAAAACTCACTTAATTTAGTTTTTTTTTTTTATCAGAAAACAAGATTTTCTTATGTCATTTTACTTCTCTAGTAAATTCCTCTTGATTTAAGAATTTTTAGAAAGTTGGACTGGAAACAAGACAAAAATAGTAAGTAGGAAAAGCATTTTTAGCAGTGTACAAAGTGCACGTTTAAAAGTGTTACTTAAGTGTGTTAAGAAACCGTCATGAACGTGACACTTTTATTTCATTAATATTATATTATCTGCAAGTTAATACTACTGTATATGAATTACAAGATTGAAGTACACTACAAGTGCATTTCTTTTTCACATGAAATTTTACTGTTTTTTGGTTGCACTTTATTTTAAGGTGTCATTGTTACAGTGTAATTATACATTTAAGTACTGAGTAATATTAATTAACGACATGTACTGATATAGGGTTAGGGTAGGATAATGATTTGGTTGAGGGTTAGTTGCACGTAATTACGCATAATTTACTGTTATTACTATGGTAAGTACATGTAACAAGGACACTGTAAAATAAAGTGTTACCGTTTTTTTTTACTGTGTAAAATTTAAAAATTGCTCTTGAGCCAGGCAGACAGAGTAACATTTCAAACCTGGAAATCTGTCTGAAAAAAATGCATCATTCACGTCATTTTTGGTGTGAGTGGTGTATTGTGCATGCTGAGGTGAGGCCGCTGTGACTCAGTGCTGATAGTGTGTGTGGGGTCTGATAGAGGAATGCAGGACACACCACAGTTACACATTTACAGACAGGTGCCTATAAATCCTCACACACACTCACCTGCACAAGCACAGCCACGGACGCCTTACCCGAACACAGGACTCCATCGCCACACACACACACACACACACACCCTGTCCTGGACTAAACTTCCCTCTGAATCATGTGTTCTGGAAACTGTGCTAAATGCCTGGGGATCACGCTAATCCCGCTGGCCATCATCTGTGTGCTCTGCAACATCCTCCTGTTCTTCCCCGGCGGGAAAGTGGCCGATCAGAGCGACGACATCACGGACGAGGTCTTTTACCTGGGAGGGATTCTGGGATCCGGCGTGCTGGTGAGTGAACGCTTGGACCACACGTTTAGGATCTCATCTCTGTACATGCAATCTCATGCTTTTAACGTGTCAATTTGTGCAAAAGGGTTTAAGGAGGAATTCTGTAACTCTGTTTGAAGCTCATTTTCTTTAGGCCTATTGGTTATTTGCGATATCGTGAGTTCTTTAAAGGGAGTGTTTTTATTTGGCTAAATGTTTCACTATTTTTTGTTTGATTTGAAGGATTTTTGGTTAAATGTACTCACATTTAAAGAATATACTGGGATGGTCTTTGTTTAGATGATCTTCCCGGCGCTGGTTTTCCTGGGCTTGAAGAACAACGACTGCTGTGGATGCTGTGGGAACGAGAGCTGCGGTAAACGCTTTGCGGTGAGAAACTCCTCTTTAACTCGAATGCTCGTCTCTTGAGGAGCAGAAGTCATGTGACAAATGACATTTTCACGCCATTCCTCCACACAATGGCCACGTTATTCCCGCCATCTGAGAAAGGCCTTTCCGGGTTAAATATTCGGAATATGCATTTTTTTTTCTTTTTTTAACTCTTATAAGCCATTATTGCAACACACAGGCTACTGTTTTAAAGAAGAAACATGAATAAAATGACAGAGCCAAACATTATGGTAACATTTAAGGTAAAAGTTGCTGCCTTACGTTTTTAAGTACAGTCATTTCAACTTAAATTACATTGAACTGACTTAAAAAAACGAGTTGAATCTTGTATAGCCTGACTTAAAAAAAATAAGTTGAAAATTGCCTAACTTATTTTGATGAGTTAAGCAATGTAAAAACATATGTTGTGATAGCGTATTGATCATATATTGGTTTGTTTTGCTCCAGATGTTCAGCTCTATCCTGTTTGCCGCGGCCGGAGCTGTCGGCGCCACTTACTCCGTGATCATCTCATGTGTGGCCATTAATCACGGACCCAAGTGCTTCACAGAAGCAAACGCCAATTACACCGAGTACCAATTTAGCGAAGGGTACGTGTTTATTTTCCAATAACAATCAAATCAGATAATAACCCAGTGGCTGTAATGTAGCACTGTTCATGTCCTTCAGAGACTACCTGTCCAACCACACGATGTGGGATGTGTGCACGGGCCCGGGGGAGATCATCACGTGGCACCTGACCCTGTTCTGCATCCTGCTGGTGACCGGCCTGGTCCAGATCGGCCTGTGCGCCTTCCAGGTGATCAACGGGCTGATCGGCACCATCTGCGGGGACTGCTGCGGCTGCTGCGCGGTACGGCTCGCTCTCACACGCGTGCTGAGACACGCCACTCACAAACAATTGAGGAAACACAGTGCCTTAACATTATGAAGTAAATGAACGTCATGCTTAAGCGAAAAAATTGAGTAATGTGGAAATGTCAAGTTCACATCACTTCATTTTTTTCAATTAAGCATTACGTTTATTTAACCTACTTAAAAAAATCGAGTAAACCTATTGCCTTAAAATTATTAAGTAAATAAACGTCATACTTAAGCGAAAAAATTGAGTAATGTGGAATTGTCAAGTTCACATAACTTAATTTTTTTCAATTAAGCATTACGTTTATTTAACCTACTTAATAATTTTAAGGCAATGGGTTTACTCGATTTTTTTAAGTAGGTTAAATAAATGTAATGCTTCATCGAAAAAATTAAGTAACGTGGAATTGTCAAATTCACATAACTTAATTTTTTCAATTAAACATTACGTTTTTTTACTTTAAAAAAATGAGTAAACCCGTTGCCTTAAAATGATTAAGTAGGCTAAATAAACTGAATGCTTAAATGAAAAAAATTTTGTTATTTGAACTTGACAATTACACATTACTTACTTTTTCAATGAAGCATGACGTTTATTTACTTAATAATTTTAAGGGAACGGGTTTACTCAATTTTTTTTAAATTAGAGAGTTAGATTGCATGATGTATGCGGATTAATGTAGCATTATAACATGTTTATTTGTGTTTATCTGCAGGAATAAACCACTCGGGAGGGACTTGGATCAATGATTCTTCAGTTCTAATCATACATCGAAATCTGTAATTGTCAACATTTTTCACCTCATGATTTTTATTTATACTGTTCAGATGGATGATGTTTTCTTCCGTTTGCTGTATACAACATCTGCCTGAGGGCTCATGCTTATGAAGGCAACAGATATTTGATATTGTTATATAAATAGGCCTATAAGGCAACGTATGATGTATGATACAGATTTATACGAAATAGGATTTATATAATAGCTATAGTGTATTGATACATATGCCTATTAAAAAGATATTTATTCAAACTGTAAGAGAATGTTATTTTCGTACAAGTATTTAGTCTTTTTTAATGATGAAAGGGAGTGTGCAAATATGTGAATTATTTGATTAAAAATTGAAAAACAGTTTCATTTTATCTCAGGAAATCCATTGCTATATTAGTAAAATAATATTTGACACTTAATAAACTCTTGAATTTAAAAAAAACCTCTCGGCTGTCCTTTGCATTTTTCCAGATCACTCAGCAAAAATAAATCTTTTTTTGCGTTCTGGCTTGAGAAAACAGGAAGCAGAAGGACAGACAGAGAGGATCTGGCCAGCACCGTGACACTCTGGAGATTTCGGGTTACTTCACAAACAACAGCTGGCCTGTCGGAGATGATTTGCGTAATTTTCATAACTAAACATGCAATAACAAGCGCAAGCCGAAACTGTACTGACACGTCTCTGATAAGAGCTCTTACGTATAGGTGATAACTCCAAGCTATTGAGAGAAGGCTTTCTGGATAAAGTAAATGTTTGTTGTTCCGCCGTTGTGATAATGTTGTGTTATCAGTGTGTTTATGAGGGGAATGTTATTTTATGATGGGTTTATATGGCAACGGCTCTTCACACAGGAATGATTAACTTGATGTCCCATGATACCTGTTGCCGATCCTTTATTACTGACAGATTATCCCCTCATGCTTATCCGGCTTTTGTGGCAAACAAAAAGTATTATAGTTGCATGATAAATGATTTGCTTCTCGCCAAATAGCCAGACAAGCAAATATCACTTGATGTGTTTAATATGTTTAGTATGACAACATTGCGTAATTACAAGCAGCTTTTGGGCTATTTGTAATTCCCCGTGAAGCACGTGTACAGTAGTAGCAGTTGCACAGTCAAATCAACACACGCGTAAAAAAAGTAGGCTACCTTTAATAAGGCATTAGCAAAAGTGTTTAGCTAAGTACTAACAGATCAGTAGTTTATGTACATTTAAATAGTTATTGGCCTAAAAAAGCACATAATAATGTTAAGTTCTTATAAAACCAGCATGACTCAATGCAGACCATCATGATTATTTGTATTTCACTGATTTGAACTCTGGCCAGAAATCTCTGACTCTCCAGTGGAGAATATCTCGCAGATGCTGAGGTGAGGCGGAGACCCCTGCTGGACATCTGAGGAACTGAGGCCTTTAAAGACCTTATTCAAAGCCGTTTTCAACGCATCCGCTGTGAAAGCTGGATAAAGCTCCTAGATCACCTAGCATTTTCCACAGCTCATGTTGTTGGGATTTTTTTGTCAACTGGAATTCCTTGGAAAGATATTTTTGCAGTGTTTTATCAGCAAAACAATCCCAAAAACACATGAAAAACCCAGTCCAACCCACTGAAGAGATGTATGTCTGTCCCTCACAGCCTCGCTTTCATTCCCGTTAAACATCAAAGATGGCGCTGCTGTGAATAAGGTCTAGACCCTTCGCAAAAATGTTACACATCATGTTGTCACGCAGTAGAAACTACATCGCAGAGAAAAGAGGACACTGACAACACTTTTGATATGAAACAAAGTCTCCGCTTTCAAATTTTGTAAATTCTTAAGAAATGCAAATGTGTGGTGACTGGTGACAGCTGTAGCGCCTCAATTCAAGCAGTTTCTCTTCCTACAAGTTTGCATGAAATAAACGTGATATACGATAGTCAAAGATGTCAGATTATGCGATTTTGACAAGAAACATGTCAGACTACACGTTGCTTACTGACCAATCATCGCTCGCCATCTTTAAAGTCCCACTGAAGTGCCTTGAAACACGCAGCATTATTCAATGTGTTGACGTCATTTCCACTGAAACAGGAAGAGGGTGGGGCATATTGATCAGCTCCTCCCCTTTTTTAAATAGCCAATAGCGTTTAGTTTATGTCACAGCTGGTCCAGAGCCGTTGAGCTCAGTAAAGCCACAGTTTCCTCCTAATCGCTAACCGTTTCTCCTTCTAATCTCCTCCATATCGCTTTAAAATACACTATTCAGTGCAGAATTGAAATGGGTCTGAAGTTTTCTGGTCTGCATTGACTTGATCATATGATCCGCTCTGTGTGTCGCTTCACTGGACCGTTCGCGTGACACCAGGGTTCTCAAGTCTCACGCATTGGCCGTGAGACACACGCAATTCACAGTTCACACGCCACACCGTGTATATCTCACGCTAGTGATGTATGTCTCGAGACCGGTCTTGGTCTCGAGACCGGTCTCGAGACCACTTTTACGTGGTCTCGGTCTTGTCACGGCCTTGACGGTCTTTGGTCTCGGTCTTGTCTTGGTCTCGGACCTCCCGGTCTTGTCTAGGTCTCGCTGTCTCAGACCGACATGGGATCAGTGGTCAGGGGATTGAGCAATACAATACTACAATATCCACGACGATATCCGCAACGTATTGAAGCATGCGTCCGAGTGAAGACAGTGCGGTGCGCGCGAGCCACGCGAGAAAACACTGTATCCGCGCCACTGATCGCAGCGGCAACGAGCACTTTGATCACTTGATTTAAAAAACACATATCATGTACAGTTTTTGATATATATTAATATATAGTAAAACACATATCAGTGACATGATGGGTTTTACCTTCATTCAGGAGATTTTGGGTAACTGCACAACTGACAGATGACTTTGAGCGCACCGCCAACGGTGTGTGTGTGTGTGTGTAACCATAGCGACAAAAACGACCAACTTTCGGATCCTGCACTTAAGCCTATAATTTCGTTTTTAAAAATATAATTATGTATTTAAAAGTTGCAGAATGGATTCATTTGGAGACTTCGAAATCAGCAGAGATAGGCAGGCAAATGCAAAACAACATTTGACAAGTTATTGCTTAGCTTCAACACTAATGTTTTTTTCCCCTCCGGTCTCGACTTGGTCTCGGTCTTAGTCTCGACTTGGTCTTGGTCTCGACTTGGTCTGTCTTGGTCTTGGTCTTGTCTTGTCTTGGTCTCGATACCATCTGGTCTTGGTAGTGTCTTGGTCTCGGTTTAGGCGGTCTCGACTACAAGTCTATCTCACGCTGAAAAAGCAATGCCAACCAAGTTGTCCTGCAAGCTTTATATATAACGTTGAATACGAGGCGCATGCACACAAAGATAAGGTTCCTGCCGCCAGCGCGTCCGCATCTCGGCCAGATTGCGTTCGTTACTAGGCAACTTATAGACGCGCGAAGTCTGCGAACACACACGGAAGTTCGGCCACCGCGACATCGCGCGAACACACGTCGTGATGGAGAAAGTAAGTTGGAAGAAAGCTCGCCTAACATTTTTAGACTAGAAGTTCTAGAACATTTAATATATAGCCCATCGTATACATTATTGATGCAGTCAAAAACTCTACAACTGCTTTGCAACCAGGCCAAAAGCTTTGGCTCAGTTTGGCTAAGGAAATGTTATTGGGTATGGGAAGGAATGAAGATGTATTTCTTCAGTTTATTTTAAATTCTATATTATACTGTATTAATAGTATTTCTAGTTACATTAAGGCTAAAGCAGAGTGCTCTTGGTAATATTGTATATCCTGTCAAAACATACATTAGCCTAATCATTGCCATTGCATTTGTATTTTTCAAAGATGTCAGGGAAAAATGCAAAAATATTGTTTTTCCAAACATTTTGGAGCAATTTGTTATATATTTGTAGCCTAATTTTGAAATATAACATTAAAGAGTAGGCCTATATTTGATGTGATGAATTGCTCTGTCATTTATCAGATTTACCAATTGTTATAATTTCAATTTTTGCTGGTTAATTATGAACAATGGGTAAAATTGGGGGCGGGGATAGGCGGGGGCGGGGCTCCATTTAGGCCCCTCCCCTAACCGCATGTGATCTCACTCCAAGCTTTTGATAAAACTTGAGAACCCTGCGTGACACTAACGTGAAATAAGTCTTCATTCGCCCCGATGGAAAGCATATTTACAGCCTCTGAATCGTTCCCTATCCCCTATATAGTGCAATATGTGCCATTCACCATGTAGAAAACAGTAAATGTGTGAAGAGTGACTGATTTTCACCGCAGCTTCAACGTCTGTCTATAATGTAGGGGGCGGAGCCTCCGATTCTAGAGAGCATTTGATTGGACAGAAGATCTGATGAGAGCTGAAGTGCAGAGTGATGTCATCAAAATCACTGATCCATATTGGAGGAAGTGAGAGACTTAGGTTTGAACGCTTATATATTCTAAATGTGAATTTGGAGCACAGTAGCTTATATATAAGAGTAAGATTAACATATTTAAACTAAAAGCCAAAAAGGAAATAAATTTTGATATCATGAGGACAATTAAAGATGTATGTGATGTCATAGAGGAGGAACAACTAGCGACTGATTTCCAGAAACGAGCATAACCAAACTACCGAAGCACATGTTAGCTTAATGCTAATCCCAGCACTCACCAGGCTGTTGAAATCATAGATATCATATAATAAAGGTTAGATGTCTCGTCCGCCCTGCTGGCCAATGGAGGTCGACATCCGCACGTGGCGGCCATCTTGTCACAGGCAGCTCGCTCACTCCTAACATTGTGTTTTAATGGTGCATGTACTTTTAAATAACCATAACTTGCTCAATTTTCTACCGATTTTCAATTGGTTTGGTTTGTTATAAACGTCAGAGATGTAGTTATGACACTGCATACATATGAATAATTATGAATAATTATAACATATATGTTCAAGCATTCAGAATTATAACCATGTTAATAACGTTTGTAAGAAACCAAACCGTTTGTAAATCCGTCAAGATTTCAGCGAGATAAGAGTATTTGTGTTCGTGCCGATCACTCATCTTACATCAGAGCCTGCCTGTGACAAGATGGCCGAACGGTGATGGCGGAAGTGACTCCGCCGTAAGACATCTAGCTTTTATTATATGATATGTATGGTTGAAATGCCTCCGCCATCGTTCGCCAGCATTTATCTGT